CTGAAAATTCTAGTTAAATGGTTGGTAATTTTGCCTTATTAAAGTATTTTGCAAGAAACACCTTCTATTAGGTAAGTTAGATACAGAGCTGTCATCTCTCTTCTGCAAGTAAACAGATGAATTTTGCTGGGGGGTGGGGAGGGCAAAGAAAAGAAGACAGAAGCTGGCCTTAAATCCCTAAAGGATGCATCCAGTCCAACTTCATTCTGGACTGTGGTGCATACACTGTAATTCTTACTTGGAAGAACTCCTGGCACCTTCTGGAGAGGCTCCATCAAATCTGATAACTGGCACAGTGCAGAGCATGTAATGAAGTAATACTTTGTCTTCATTTATTAAAACAGCTGTCTAAGGTCATAAATACGGGTTGTTTTTATCACCAGGAGTCCTCCCATAAGCATGAGGATGATGATTAACACCGTAGCTCTGAATCTGCTTACATCCACAGCCTCGCGGCAGATGCTTGGCTCCAGCATTGTTTAAAAGCCATCAGAAAACATCTTGATCGCTGGTGACCTCTGCGAGAACTTTGGTGGCTGCCGTATTGATCTGACCCAAGGAGTGCTCCTCAGGCAAACATGAAGGCAGGCTTTTTTATTGATTAGCCAAATGGTCTAGCCTTCCTGTTTTGTCTCCTCATTGGCAATTAAGAAAGAAATCCATTGAGGGAGTGGTGGCAGTGAACCTTTCCCTCTGACACAAATAACCTTAATCAGGCCTCTTAGTTAATTTCTGAAATTGTTCAGTATCGACCTCTGTTTGAAGCAGGATTTTCATCCTACAGACCTATCAGTAAAACATACACATCTTCCTATTAGCAAAGCAGGCTTTTTCTTATGGTGACATCTTTTAGTTCTTATTTACAATCCTAATCACATCATTGATTCCAGTAATCTTTCCTGCAGTAAGCGCTGTTATTAATTGTCTCAAAGGAGGACATGGGTGGGGTTTATGTTTTTTTAAACAAGTAATAGCAATTTAAGATTTGGGGGGAGAGAAGACAGGAGGGGAAAAAATCCCAATTCTCAGTGTTATTAACATCCAGACAGGAAAGCCGTCACAAAGTTCCTTGGCCTAATAGTAAGGCTGATACCTAGAATGGGACCAGAAGATCCTTTTGGTGCCTCAACTAAACAGCTGGGAATTGCTTTCTACTCCAAAAACCATGTTTTTACAGGTTAGGAAAGCAATTGTTCAATCCAAAATGCAGCAGTTGGGCATTTCAGATTTACACAACTCTTTTTGTTTCAGAACCACCACAGCAGTTCATTTGGGTAGTGAGAAATGTAGCTTTTCCTCACCTCCCCCCAGTAATCACTGATTTAACCCCCAAATGAATGCATTGATCCTCTGCCTTCATCTTCCCCAGCTCTGTTCTAAACCAGTTCACACAAGGGCAGGCCTTGCTTGTCCTTCGCAGTGTCATGAGATACTTTAACCTAGGAAAAAACTTAAATCATTGGGAATACTCACAGCTTATGTCACGATCACTTCACTGCTACTCTGTGATGAAAAGCAAAGGTACTTGGTTGTGAGGGGGGGAGCCCTGGGCTTGGGGCACTCTAATGCAGCTGAATCTGGGGCTAAGCCCCCCATTTGACAGCTCCTCCTCCCCTCAGGCACATGCACTGTTTTTCACACTGGTTCTCTCTCCCAGTACACATGAGTTAAAAGCAAAGTTTTTTTCTCTTGAAGGAAATCTGTGAAATCCAGTGAGTGGAGACGCTAGGAAAGTTCTGGTTGAGCGCGAGTATCGTTTATCATACGTTCTCCTTGCCAGGAAATGCCCCTTGGGCAGTCGTGGTGGTTGGGGTGCCAAGGCGGCACGAGAGACATCTGGCAGGGAGAAAAGGCTTTGACTTACCGAGGTGCTATCCCCGTCTGCACGGTGGATTTACAGACCTGATGTCATCTATTTACGTTTCTAAAGCGCAGCATGGAGCAAAATGCAGCGATACGAGAGATCGGTCTTCATTTGGCGAAGTCACTGCCAAATTAAATGATGACAGATGGAAATGCTAAAAGCCACGGTGTCACGGATCCGGCGAGAGCCCTCTGCTTTAGCAGCGGGTAAATATATAAACCTCAGCTGGTGCCTGCCGAAGATACGCGTCCGGTTTAAAGATAGCCCTCGGACTTTTTATTTAATCAATACCCCCTATCGAAGAGAGCAGCGTCGAGCATTAGAACTAAACCAGTGTTATTAGAAAATGATATACTGCATATTAGGATGTATAATTCATGTCGCCTTCATTTGCTCAGACCATCGCGAAAATCCATAAATCATTTTCTCGTTCATGTATCGCCTAAGTGCAATTTGTCATTTCGCATTAGAGGGCTGCCTCAGATCATCGGGGCTTTTAATTCCGCGCCGAGGCTTTAACACAGCGCTGGCCGGGGCACCCCGCACCACAAAATGGAGGCGGCGGGCGGGGAGCCGGGGGGGGGTCGCGGAGCCGGCGGGCGCTGCGCGGGCACGGCGCCAGGAGGGGGTCCCGCGTGCGCGCCCCCGCCAGGGTTCCTGCCCCGTCGGCCCGGCTGTGCCGCGGGGGCGCGCCCCTCGGGCACGCGTGGGGGGCGCCCCGACGCCGCTCCCCGGGGAACGGCCCCGGCCCCCGGCCCCGCCGCTTTGCCCTCACCTCCGGCTCGTCCGCCGCCCCGCCGCTCCCGGTGCCCGGTTTCCTCGACGGGCGAAGGGCTTTTTGGTTTTATTAATTTGTCCCTGACGAAAGCCGTTTTACCGGCAAACGGCCCCGCCGGCCCCGCTTTAGACGTGCCGTAACGCCGAGAGGTGGGCAGGGGCGGGCAGGACGGCGGCGCCGGGGGACGCCTCTCCCCGCCGGCGGCTGACAGACACCGACGGGCACGGCGGGGAGACGGGACCCCGGTGAGGGCGGTGTGAGGGGGTCGCGGCCGGTCTCGTCCCCCCCCGCCACCGCCTCCTCCTTCCCCGCGGGGCCGCTCGGCGCCGCCCGTGCCGTGCCGGGGCGGGTGGGCGCAGTGCGGCGCTGCCGCCGCTGGGGGGCGCCCGGCGCCCGCCGTTGGTGCTGGTGGGCGGCCGGTGGCGGCGGCGGCAGCGGCGGCGTCGCAGCCCCCGCGCGTGTGGCGGGGCCGCCCGTGGGCCGTGCCCTGTCCCGGGGGATAACCGCTGGCGGCTGGCATGCGATCTTCGGCAGCAATAAAATTGATTTTTTTGGGGAAAAAAAAAAAATGATTATTGACTCGGTTTTAATTTTTATTTATTTATTTATTTGCGGTCTGTGAAGTTGCGGGATTCCGCTTCGCCCCGGCTCGGCGAGGGCGCCGGGCGGGGAAGCCGGCACCGGGTTCACCTCGCTCGGCAATGAGAGGCTCCGGGAGCCTGCCCGTGCCTCCCCCAAATGCAGCACCCCCGGGAGCCGGTGCGGGGACATGGGACCGGCTTCCCTCCCCGCTCATATACCTCCCCCCCCCCCCCCGCCCCGAGCATCCCGTGCCGCCGGGGGACACTGGAAGGCGTAACGCGGGGGGGAACGGAACGGGCTGGGAGCTGGAAACACTGCGCAGATGGAGAGCGGGACTTTCCTCCGCCGCCAAACAAACTAATTAGTTAAGGCAGCCCCCGAGGGAGGAAAATTTTTTCTCAAGTTTCCCATTGTTTACGGTTTTTCTAAAAACGGCGTCGTGCCGGGGCGTAGGATAGGAAAGTTGGTAGCTGGTGGAAACTCCCTCTCCAAGGAGATGGCTGTTTACGGCTCTGTGGTGACGAGCGGTGTTTCCCGACCCTGCTCCTGCGGCAGGGGAATAGCCGCTCTCGGGGGCTGGCAGGCGGGCAAGCATGCACATATTGCACTGCGCTCACTGCATGCATTGCACTGCATGCATTGCATTGGGTGTACTGCATGTACTGCACGCATTGCATTGCGCTGCCTGTGCCGCACGCACTGCCCGCCCGGCCGTGCTGCAGCCTACTTGACGTGCGCCGCGGCCAATGGGCGCCGCCCCCGGGGGCGGTGCTGGCAGCCGATTGGTTGGCAGGAGCCGGGCGCTGCGCAAAAACAGCGGAGCCGAGCGCTGCCGGCTCAGAAACTGCCGGCAGAGATCAGAGGAGCCGGGGACGGGGACGGAGCCGGGACGGGAGGAGAGCGGCGGCGGCAGCAGCAGCAAGCAGAGACAGAGAGACAGACAGACAGAGAGGGGTTAGACGCAAAAGCAGCGAGAGAGGAGGAAAAAAACTGACCGGCACATCCGTAAAATAGCAGGGTGATGGTGATGATGATGAGCGTAATGATAGCAATAAAAGAAGAAAACGAGAGACTGTTGATAGAAGAGAGAAAAATCTAAGACCTCTAAATAAAAAGAGGAGATCCCCGAGAAATCAGGGAATGAAAGTTTTGGGTAGCGAAGCTGTTCTCTGCCTTTTTTGATCTGAAATCTTTTTTTGCGGGTTTTAATTTTTTATTTTATTTTCTTTTTTTAATTTCGCGGTTTCCTGCCTTTTTCTTGCATCTCGAGAGGGCATGTCCACCGGCTCTTCCAGCAGCATCTACCCCTCCAGCTCCCACCAGGAAGACAAACCGAGGACAATCTTGAAATATAAAAATTTCCTCCTTGGGATTTGCTGCTGCTGCTGCCTCCGCCGCCGCTGCTGCTGCCGCGGTGCAGTGCCAAGACTCTCGGAATAAATAAAAGCGGGCTACTGTTTATCTATAGATACAGCCAGCTAATAGCTATTATTAGTTGGCCGTTTATTCCGAAGATCACAGATGAAGTGGGGACGCCTGCCTTCTTCATTTGGTCAGCGTGTGAAACAATAATACTCGTAACAAATAGGAGGGAGATGGGGGAGAAAAAGCTCTTAACATGAATCAGAAGAAATAATACCTAGCGTATCCCCCCCCAAACCAAGCCCCCCTTTCCTTTCCCCCCTCCCCCGATCCCTCTCTCTCTCTCTCTCTCTCTCTCTCTCTCTCTCTCTCTCTCTCTCTCTCCCCGCACGCTCGGAGGCGCGGACACGCACAGACACACTCACACACACAGACACACAGGCAAAGGCGCACACACTGCGCTGTGTGCTTTCGGAGGAGGAGGAGGAGGTGGTGATTTTCGGAAGAGGAGGAAGAGGTGGTGTCGGGGAGGGGGGCTCTCTTTCCCCGCTTGGAGATGGTCGTGCTATTCCTCCTCGCCTTGCTCTGGATGGTGGAGGGGGCCCTTTGCCAGCTCCATTACACGGTGCAGGAGGAGCAGGAGCATGGCACGTTCGTGGGAAATATCGCCGAGGACCTGGGCTTGGACATTACAAAACTTTCGGCTCGCCGCTTCCAGACGGCGCCCAACTCCCGCAGCCCTTACCTGGAGCTCAACTTGGAGACCGGGGTGCTCTACGTGAACGAGAAGATCGACCGGGAGCAGATCTGCAAGCAGAGCCCCTCCTGCCTGCTGCACCTGGAGGTCTTCCTGGAGAACCCCCTGGAGCTGTTCCGGGTGGAGATCGAGGTGCTGGACATCAACGACAACCCGCCCTCCTTCCCGGAGCCCGACCTCACGGTGGAGATCTCGGAGAGCGCCACGCCGGGCACCCGCTTCCCCCTGGAGAGCGCCTTCGACCCCGACGTGGGCACCAACTCGCTGCGCACCTACGAGATCACCCCCAACAGCTACTTCTCCCTCGACGTGCAGACGCAGGGCGACGGCAACCGCTTCGCCGAGCTGGTGCTGGACCAGCCGCTGGACCGCGAGCAGCAAGCCGTGCACCGCTACGTGCTGACGGCGGTGGACGGCGGGCAGCCCCAGCAGCGCACCGGCACCGCCCTGCTCACCGTGCGGGTGCTGGACTCCAACGACAACGTCCCCGCCTTCGAGCAGCCCGTCTACACCGTGTCGCTGCCCGAGAACTCGCCTCCCGGCACCCTGGTGCTGCAGCTCAACGCCAGCGACCCCGACGAGGGGCAGAACGGCGAGGTCATCTATTCCTTCAGCAGCCACATCTCGGCCCGCGCCCGGGAGCTCTTCGGCATCGCGCCGCGCACCGGGCGGCTGGAGGTGAGCGGCGAGCTGGACTACGAGGAGAGCAGCGTGTACCAGGTGTACGTGCAAGCCAAGGACCTGGGGCCCAACGCCGTGCCGGCGCACTGCAAGGTGCTGGTGCGGGTGCTGGACGCCAACGACAACGCGCCCGAGATCAGCTTCTCCACCGTCAAGGAGGCGGTGAGCGAGGCGGCGGCGCCGGGCACCGTGGTGGCCCTCTTCAGCGTGTCGGACCGCGACTCGGAGGAGAACGGGCAGGTGCAGTGCGAGCTGCTGCAGGGCGACGCGCCCTTCCGCCTCAAGAGCTCCTTCAAGAACTACTACACCATCGTCACCGAGGGGCCGCTCGACCGCGAGCAGCCGGGCGGCGACGCCTACACGCTGACGGTGGTGGCTCGGGACGGCGGCCGGCCGCCGCTCAGCACCAGCAAGTCCATCCAGGTGCGGGTGAGCGACGTGAACGACAACGCGCCGCGCTTCTCGCAGCCCGTCTACCAGGTCTTCGTCAGCGAGAACAACGTGCCCGGCGCCTACATCTACGCCGTCAGCGCCACCGACCGCGACCAGGGCGCCAACGCGCGGCTCGCCTACTCCATCCTGGAGAGCCAGATCCAGGGCATGTCCGTCTTCACCTACGTCTCCATCAACGCCGAGAACGGCTTCCTCTACGCGCTGCGCTCCTTCGACTACGAGCAGCTCAAGGAGTTCAGCTTCCAGGTGGAGGCCCGCGACGCCGGCGAGGAGCCGCGCCCGCTGGCCGCCAACGCCACCGTCAACATCGTGGTCGTGGACCAGAACGACAACGCGCCCGCCATCGTCAGCCCCGTGCCGGGCCGCAACGGCACCCCGGCGAGGGAGCTGCTGCCCCGCGGCGCCGAGCCGGGCTACCTGGTGAGCCGGGTGGCCGCCGTGGACGCCGACGACGGCGACAACGCGCGCCTCACCTACAGCATCGCGCGGGGCAACGAGGCCAGCCTCTTCCGCATGGACTGGCGCAGCGGCGAGCTCCGCACGGCGCGCAGGGTGCCGGCCAAGCGCGACCCGCAGCGCCCCTACGAGCTGCTCGTCGAGGTGCGCGACCACGGGCAGCCGCCGCTCTCCTCCACCGCCGCCATCCAGGTGGTGCTGGTGGACGGCGCGGCCGAGCGGCCCGGCGGAGGCGGCGGCGGCGGCGGGCAGGGAGCCGGGGCGGGCGCGGGGGGCGGCGGGGCAGGCGGCGAGCACCGTCCCAGCCGCTCCGGGGGGGACGCGTCGCTCGACCTCACCCTCATCCTCATCATCGCGCTGGGCTCCGTGTCCTTCGTCTTCCTGCTGGCCATGATCGTGCTGGCCGTGCGCTGCCAGAAGGAGAAGAAGCTCAACATCTACACCTGCCTGGCCAGCGACTGCTGCCTGGGCTGCTGCTGCTGCTGCCCCTGCTGCAGCCGCCAGGCGCGGGCCCGCAAGAAGAAGCTCAGCAAGTCGGACATCATGCTGGTGCAGAGCTCCAACGTGCCCAGCAACCCGGCGCAGGTGCCGGCCGAGGAGGCGGGCAGCTTCGGCTCCCACCACCACAACCAGAACTACTGCTACCAGGTCTGCCTCACCCCCGAGTCCGCCAAGACCGACCTGATGTTCCTCAAGCCCTGCAGCCCCTCCCGCAGCACCGACGCCGAGCACAACCCCTGCGGGGCCATCGTCACCGGTTATGCCGACCAGCAGCCCGACATCATCTCCAACGGCAGCATCCTCTCCAGCGAGGTAAGGGGGGAGAGGGCCCGTCCCCGTACCGCTCCCCCGACGCAATTCCTCCCCCCCCCGGGCCCTTCCTCTGTCCTCGCTTTTTTTATTTCTTTTTTTTTTTTTGGGGGGGGGGGGGGGGTTGCACCTCATCTGCCCGCCCTCTGCCCTCACGTCCAGGGGTCCTCTCCTGGCCGGGAGCTCGGTGGTGCTTTGCAGGGGGCTGTGCTTCTCTGATAACACCGGGAATAACCACAGGGAGAAATATGGGGACTGCACTTTTAGTCTTTCCAAACCCTTTCCCAAACCTCTTCTGCCAAAGGAAACCCCCTCCTCTGGGGAGAATTACAATCTCTGCAGTTAGCAGGAACTTTAAGGGATTTGTGAGCTAGAGTTTACTCCTTGACTTTTCTTCCCTCTGCCTGAACAGCCCTTTATAACCTAAAGCTGAACTCACAAAGAAAGGCAGCCGAGAAGGAGTTTCTGTCAAATTACATGCAGATTTAAAGTTCCCTCTTGTTAAGCTTGTTCTCTGTATTGTGTTGCCTAGCGTGTAGAGAATCTCTATCAAAGCGTATGCCATATCATAACTCCCCTGGTAATCATTTACTCAGCTAGCTCATACACACCCTTGGTACTCCTCTGCTTGTGTCCTAATGAAAACACTCTCTCTCTTAATGTGAATACTGTAACCTCAATGCTGTCCAGTCTGGCAGAGGTAGTTTGAATTATGTTTTCTAAGGCTGACTACATCTTGAAATAAAATGTCTAGTGTTGGCTTTTAAAGTGGACTTTTCGTTGAAATGTGTGTAAAACTCTGTCTCCTCTTGCCTTTTTGAGGACCCGGGGGTATCTTGATTTATTTTCTCCCCTAGTGTGCAACAACTAAACTGTCTCTGCCTATTTTTATATGCTGGAATTAAAAACAGACCAAAAACTAGATTCCAAGAAGTTTTCCTCAGAGCAAGCAGTACACAAGTCTAGAAATAGTTGCGCTGATTTTGTGGGAGTCCTTGTGATGCTTGACAGCATGCACTGTGAGAAGACATGTGTGAATCTTGTCTCAAAGAACTCAGGGAAAAAAATACCTCGTGCTTTCCCATATGTGTGAAGAAGAGGCGAGGGCTGGTGGGTTTCTCTCCTTACGTCCTAGAAGCAGATTGTGTAGGCCTACTTGCAGTTAAACATTACCATTTATAGTGAATATGGTGAGCTGCTCTTCTATATTTTCTGATGCTGGCTACAGAAGTATCAAGAGATCAAATATTTCCTAATATTTTCTTTTTCCTAGACAAAACATCAGCGTGCTGAGCTCAGTTATCTAGTTGACAGACCCCGACGGGTAAACAGGTATGAGCTTAATCGTGTTTTCATAATGCATGCTTTAGCAAGTGTGAATGGGATGCAGAGATGTGTTTACTGCAGATGTAAAATAGTAGCAAAGCAGTGGGGAAACGGATGTATGTAGACACATTAAAAAAATGCTATCAACTAAATGAGTCTGAATTACGGCTTTTCTGAACTCTTTTCAAAATCATCTGAAAAGAGAACAAAATCTCATTTCGTGTATTAGCCTAAAACGTGCTTTAAATACTTATGAATCCTTCTGCAGGGTGTACCAGATAACACTGGCCTCTCTGAGTGATAATTTAGCTATCCAGCTTATGTAAATGATACCAAATTAATTATACCGATTACACGAAAAACATGCAGAGTGCTAATGCCTGCTGTCCGTTTCAGCTAGACTAGCAATGTCTGAAAACACAAGTTTTGTTTGTGGTGGACAGAGTGCCTCTGCAGAAGCAGTGCAGCAAGGCAGGAGTGGGTGAATGCAGCACCATGTTTGGCCATGTGATGGCAGAAGAATGTTTTATGACTTCCTCTTTCATGTTTATTCTAATGTAAGGATGTTTCTGTGTCTAGTTCTGCATTCCAGGAAGCAGACATAGTAAGCTCTAAGGACAGTGGTCATGGAGACAGTGAGCAAGGAGACAGTGATCATGATGCCACTAATCGAGGTCAATCCTCTGGTAAGTCTGATAAGACAGTGGAAATAGTCGATCTTTAAGTAGGGAGACTAGAAAGAGCAGTTACCTGTAGGAATGTAAGACCAGCATAAAATAATGTAAGCATATTGCATGGAAGGCTGGGTTTAAGCCAGCTTGCCACTATGGTAACCTACACAAGGAGACAATTTTGAATGCCATGCATTCAAGGGGCAAAACTTATTTTATTGTTTTGGTCTGGGGGCAGGGGAAGGTTGGCATGTTACTCTGCATTAGTGGCTGTAGCAAAACTTCCTCCACATTAAAGCAAAGTTATCAGTATGTTTTCTAGTGCATTTTTTTCCCAACAATAGAGTTGCAGGATTTCAAAGCACTAGGCAACTTTGTTTAGTAGACACTTCACAGCAGTGTGAAGTGCAGGGGGAGTTCCCAAGGCAAGGCAAAGAATGAGCCCAGTGACTGAATGACAGCCAGACTGTGAGGATTTTTGCTGGGGATCAGTGGAGACGCATTGGGTGTTCTGAATGGGTAATACCTTAGCATTTTTAGAGGAGTGTTTTTCAATTCAAATTAACAGACCATATAGTGTAAGTGACCTCCATGTTAATAAGGCTAAGGTATTTTTAAGCATATTTCTTTCAGCCCTAGCAAAGCAAATAAATGCTTTGAAAGGCTACAATATAGCCATGATACGAATCACCTAGAAAACATATACATTGCAGTGTTATTCCTAGGCTTATGGCTTGCTGTCTTTGCTCTCATACTGTCAGTTTTCCTTTGAAAGGGACATTGTTTAGAGTCTGTGCATTAGAATTCATTCTCACTCCCACACTGCATTTTATCCAGAAATGCTTTTGCTTTCCTCCCTACTGCAGTTTCCAAAGGTCTGGTATGCTTTGAATCAGTGAAGTGATTTCTTTCCCCTTGTTTTGTCTATGCCTTGTCATATATTAGGATTTGCTACAAGTATGTCATACAAAAGACTGCATGAGTTTCTCCACTCTTCTATTTTTATTTTTATATTTTTGTTTTATTTTTATATTTTATTTTATTTTCCCCAAACTCCATTTTAAAAGATTTCAGGGCAAGGGACTGTGCTGTCATAGCAGTGCAGCATCTCTTGTGTGCTGTTAATATCCTCTATGTTCCTGCTGCTATAGTCACTGTCCCCTTAACGATGGGAAACCCAGGAACCAGGGGAAGAGGAGGCTGCTACAGGGCCCCTTTATATTGCTGCAAGTCATTAATATGCAGACCTAATGAGACTCGAGAAGAGCCAAGAGTCTCCGGAGCTCCCTGCTTCTTGCAGGGCTTCATGCTAAGTGAACAGAGTGTCTATTTTGTGTCTGGGAACCTGACAACAAACCAGGTCTTGCCAGAAGTTTACATCTGAACACAGAGCCTCTTTCATTTTTGGCCTATATATGGCGTATGATTTATTGTTGTCTTAAAAAGCCATGTATTTAGCCTCCCCCCACCCATTCTTTTGCACTGTTTCTGATGCAGCAATCAGTGCTACTGAGTTATAAAAAGCTCCCTCTCCTCCTGCCCTCCCCGCATTCCTTTTTTTTTCTTTTACGCATTTTACTGCAGCAGTCATCTCAATGAACATTTCAATCAGTTTAGTCCCTCAGCATAATGAACCATAATAACCAAACAGGAGAGAAAAGAATAAACATCTGCAGAAGGGGCTGGGTTTGACTGACGGTGGGAATATAATCATATAGTTGCACATAAACTGAAAGCTATTTTCTTTTAGATGCATCCAGTGCTGTTATTGTTGTGCCTCTGCTCTCTATTCTTTCTCCCAGTTTTACAAGTAGTCTATTTCAGATAAGAACACTGGGACTGTTGTCAAACTTGATGTTAGTTCTTAACTGGGTAAATTCCTTATTTTTCTTATTTCTATTTTACTGAATTAGAGGCAAAACTACAGTTTCAAAATATTTTCAAATCACTCAGTGGTCTGATGTGATTTATGAACTTCTGTAATGTAAATTATGATTGCAGATGAGGTAATGAGTGCTGACAGTTAGGTTTGGTCAGCTCACAAGTAACAATTTTGAGCTGAAACCTCAAACACACAGAACTTCCAATTTAATATATTGGTGCTGTGCTTTCAGGGTAATTTGCATGAGCAATTTTTAAAATGCTGGTTCCCAATAAATATTTAAATACAATTCTCTAAAGAAATTGCTATCGTTTCCTACTAATGTATAATACAGATTTTCTCAAAGTTTTGGGCTCAATCGTGCTATCACAGTACAAAGAAAGCTCCCTTTGACCAAAGTGATGACAAGATATTTTGATATAAAGACATCACTCTTGCTATTAGCTTTTTGTGATTAATTTTATGAAAAAAATGAGCATAAATCTTGTTTGATTTTGAATTACTAGAGGAAATGTCTGAGGGAATGCCTTCTCAGTTTCTCAGTTACTCTAGTGCTTTAGAATCAATTCTATCTAAATTATTAAAGGAAAACACAGTTGTTGATAATGCTTTTTTTTTTTCCTAAGATATTACCTGATACCATGCAGACTCATATTTGTTTTCAAAAGCATTGTATTTGTGTCTGAAAATGTTTAGTCAAACATTCTCATTGAAAAATAATACTTCTTCTCTACCAGTTTTAGTCAGCAACATGTTTTGCTTGCAAAACATCTTTTTTTCCTTTTCTGTGCATGACTTTTGTTACTGTCACCGGTGAAGAATCCTTTGGCACACACATAGCTATTCTGTAGGAGTCCATTGCTAGGCTAGCTGGCTGTCAAAGTTGTGGTGAGTTATTAGTTGGGAAGGTAATCATGCAGGATGAAAATCTAGCAGAGTGTCATAGAGTTCTCCTCCACAATTATTTTGCAAAAATTCTGAACTGAGCTGTTCTGTGTGTCATAAAATGTCCCATTGTGTTTTCAAATAAGATTCTGGTTCATCTTTTAACAATGTATATATTTTCTTGGTAGTGATTTAATCATGGTTTCTGGAAAGTATGTGAGGGATTCATATTGTTCCCATTAAGGTAGCACCTGAATGCATTATTGTTATCTGCATTCTTATCTACCTCAATATCAATGAACCAGGAAAGGACTGTCATCTGCATTTAGCAGAGAATGGCAAGATACTCAAAAGTGTTCAAGAGCCTAATATTTACTGATTGAGTGATTATTTCACTGAGGGTGGTAAGGATCTAAGTCTTTCGGAAAATGGCCTTCCTAAGGTCACGCAGGAAGTTTTTGGTAGATGGAGGGAGGGGTTTCACAAATCCAAAATGGGTGTTATAATTACTCATGTTCTTCTTCTCTGGCTGAAAATTGTTGAGACAAAAGCTGTTATTTTGTTGTAGAACAAATGCAACACTACTACCTATTATTAACACACTGTATTTCAGTCATGTTCTGTAGGAGTCATTTCTAAGCATGAAGTTAGTTTATTTCCCATGGTTGATTAAATTCTTGGCCTCCCTTGTGAAACTGCTGACTTGGGTGCCAATTAGTACTCTGTGTGTGTGTGTATGTTTAAACTGTGTGATTAGACACCTGTCCTGTAAGATTTGGACTCACGCCATCAACTTATTTTGTATGGTTGGTCACTAGCTACTCAGTTTTCTCACGCTGAACATGCAGAGTTCTTTACAATATTACCTTTGTTTCGCTGTCTTCACTGAATTGGCATGATTTCTCAGATGTACTTCAGGAAGGAGTATCTGAGATGTGAAGCAAAATACACATACCGTAAATCACATATTATAAAATGCATCAACTTTTTTACAATCTACTTGGTGCGGTACTGCACTGGACAGTATGTATTGGTGACTGCCTGAGAGCTAAGATCAGATTTCCGCTATTGAAATTTATGAAGGGAATTGATAGTGGTCTAACACGCAGGCACAGGGTGAAACATTACCTCACACCAATTCAGATTTAGTAAACCCCAAGAGGCATTATTGCTGGGATGTAGAATAGTTATGATATTTCACTGTTCATAGGGACAAGGATTTGAGAAGTCGCAAGGAGAATTTTGGTGATAAAGGGACAGAGGGGAAAAAAACAGTGTTCCTTCTGAGCCTATGCAGAGTGACAGCTAAATCCTGTTTTGAAGATCACTTGGGCTAACAGTCTATCTTGGATAAAGTAAGAGTGAACATTAAAATGGCTTATAAAAGTGCTTTGACTTGAACTGAGTTTTTTTTTTTTTTTTTTTTTTTTCTTCCCTTATTTCCTTGAGCTGCATGCTTAATAATGTTCACATCTCAATAGACCAGATAGGGCTTTCAAGCTGAGATTTGGAAGAGCATGAATATTGAAGATGTTTAAGTCTTTTTTTTTTTTTTTTTCATGTTCTCATGCAGATGAAGTCAGTTTTATCCAAGGCAGCACACCAATTACTTAGCAAGAAAGAATGATATAATTCTGTTTCATGAAGTCCATTTCTTCAGTAGATAAAGTCTTCCACAAAGGAGGTTAAAATCATTATCCTTATTTACAGACAGAAAACATGAATCACAGGGAAATGACTAACTTGCTCAAGGGTAATCTAACCAAATGAGTAGCCGAGATGGTAAGGGAGCTCCAAAAAGGAGTTCTGGTTCCCTACATCACATCTATTTGCCATCCAATCCTTAGAAAGTTACTACAGAAAAAGCAACAAATGCCATTTAATTCTAAGGAAAAGTCAAATTCATGAGGAAAGACAAAAGAAAGGTACACATTGGGGAAAAAAAAAAAAAAAAACAACAAAAAAAACTCTTGATAACAATACTACAAAAACATTAAAATATTTTGCTTTTTTGTTTTTCTTTTTATTACATTGTTTACACAACAATGTATATATGAACATGTTCAATCATTACTCTAAAGGCTTGGTATATGGCTCTTCTCTCTTAATTACATTAAGAAATGATAAATTATTTAAAAATGGTTTTAGGCTTAATTTTCGCTTTGATCTTAAATTGTGTTTCAAATCAAGTAGAATTCATGCACGCAAAAAAAAAAAATAATTGATTTTCTCCTTTTGAAATACAAAAAGGAAGCAAACTTGGACTATGCTTTAGAAAGGGAATGCTACCAAGTAGTATTCAAAGCACCTGAGGTCAGGAAATTCAGATGCAGATATGCAACTTATTTGACTCCTTTCTTAGTTTTTTGTTTCCTTTGAGGAAGGGGCAGGGGCTCTTTTTCCTTCAAAATCTGCAAAGTTAGGTTGTGCAAAAGCTCATATTGCCCACTGGCCTATCCAGATAAGACCTGACCTTTGCTATGAGCTTTTATATGTATGCTGTATTTGGAATAACTCAATGCTTATCATTTTTTGGTTCTTTGGTGCCCTGTACTATCTATTTGTATCTGCAAAGAACATTTGAAATTCATAATTCAGAGCCACCTTTAAAATCTGTTTATCTACATGCAAGGTCTAATATGATAACTAAGTGGAAAATATAAAGGGTTTTTCATTAATGTGGATTTGCAATTACGATGGATAGTTTACTTCAGACTATATACATAAGCAGATTTATGAGGGAGATGAGATAGAAGTGTCATATTGCTGAACATTTATTTTTGTTATAAATCAAGAATATGATTCTTGGTGAATAAAGGAGTTCTGTGTTGAATTTCTTACGTCATGTAGCATGATATACTCTTCCTTCCTGGAATCTAGTGAACAGCCTTTCCTGCCCTGCCACCCACCCCATTTTTAATGCTTTTCAACTAAAAACAGAGAAATCTATAGTATAACCCACAGGAAAAAAGTGGAGGAAGAATAGCTCGTATCATAGTCAATGTAAATATACATAGGTGCCCAGGGATTCCCAAACTAGACTGATAATCTGAATTTATTTTCTGTTGAAATATTAAAGCCAAAGGCTTAGTTCTGCGCCCATTAACCTTTTAGGGAACTCTGTGACTGATTCAAGTAGGAGTAATACCCAACTCAGTCCTCTCTGAACAGCTGTTTGCATGGTAATCAAACTTTCTAGCTACTTGTTAGCAGTGGATGTTGAAATTTGGATTTTTATTTTTTTTTTGTTATATTTTTCTTTTAGAAGTTCTCAGCTTCTTGGGGGGGTGGATTTGTCATGCAAGCTTTCAGTTGGTATCTCCTACATTCGTTACTTTGTTTATTCAAAATCCTGATTTAAGGAGGCTGTCACATTTCCCTTACATGCTGTTACATAATACTATTCGGCGCACTGTCTTAGGGAAGCAGTATTTGAAAAGGAACTAAAAATTAATTTTTGGATAGAGACATTTTGCGGTTTAGCAGCTGATGTGAAAACAAAATAGTAAAATGGAGGTTAATTTTCCAGAGGAAATAAAAATCCACAAGTAGATAAAAGAATCTATCTTTGAATATGTCTTAAATACAATGTTACTATAATATCTTTCTCCCCACTGACAAAAGAACGCAGTTTAGTATTTATCCATAATTTTTTCTGTCTTTCTTCTGCTCTCTTTGATAAACTGTTGAAAGAGTATGGTCATTGGTACACTGTTAACAAAATGCAACTGTAATCAGTTCCCTTTTAGAAGCAGGGTTATTTCTTGTTTACATGTAACTTTGCTAGGAAATCTGGAGAAAAAAAAAAAAAAGAGCGAGAACAAATGTGCTAAACAGCAAAGAAGTTTGAATTCTAGAGTATGTCTTTTCTTGCATAAGAGAGATTTTTATTCAAATGCTTCTGTATATAAGATACACATGTGCACATATGCACATTGTTTTATAGACATGGCAATGTGTTCATTTCTTTCCAGGAAACCTTTCTTTTCAGTCGTTAGCTGCTACGATTACAGAATTTAGAACCATACAATTTGTACACCTTGCATGATGATCTTCATCTGATTCCTTAATCGTATCTACAGTTCACGTTTGCATTCTTCAACAGTTCACTGATCAGTAATTTATTTTCAGACTTGTGCATGCCAATTATCAATGCAAGGTTCTAATCGAAGCTGGACCTAGCATTGTATATGACTTAATTTAAAATTTAAAAGTCATAAAGGGAGATTAATCTGAGGTAAAAAGCTTTTTTTCTTAATTTTTTCCCCTTTTATTTTTGTCTGCTTAAACGACTGCCTTTAGATCTCAAGCACTTGTTGATAGCTCAGAAAGAGTCTTGCTGAAGAGATTGTTTTGTGTAGTGTGAAATCACACAGAAATATTACTAATATAAATCAAATTATAGTTCAAAACAGTGGTAGCATTCTTAATACTAAAGCTCGCATTGGAGATTGAGCTAACCAAGTCTTTCACAACGTTGGCGGGTGAATGAGCTACAATGCATGAATCTTATTACAGCTTTTCAATATTTTTTACTATTTCTCTTGCAAGTTGTCTTTTTTTTTCTTCAAATTCTAACGGAATGCCTGTAAATGCAATGTTTGTAACATCTAGTTCAGTTTTGACATATATCTATTCTAAGACACTAAGGAATCTTTATAAGTACAAGAAAAGGATATTTCTTTGCCGTACTGCTTTTTTTTTATGGTGTTGAATAACAACTTGGAGACCTTAGTATTTATTTTCCTCTATGCCTGTGATTTCATACACCATTCCTCTCAAAACAAGTGTAATCCAACAACTCCGTGAATCACTGTCAGGAAATATTCTTTTGGACTGCTGTTCTTAAGATAATCAATGGAAGCATAGCTTGTCATTGAAATCTTAATAGCATTAAAGGATTTGTAAGCAAACAGTTTTGTGTTGGCAGGGACAGGTGTTTGCTGATATAGGGGAAACATTAACAATTTTGTCGATAGTATCCACAGCCATGTCACATTGGACTACAGCTACCTTTGTACTGCTAATTAGAGTTATTTACTATAGGATTCCATCCCATTACTTGGATGACTAGATAGTAAGGACTGCTGAACACTCTCTCCAAAAGAATGATGTAATGATTGATTTAGTGAGCCATCTTGATCACTTAAAAGCTGGATTCCTACTCTATAAGATCTGCTTTTCATACCAATAGGTTCTGTCTGCGTGCACACATGCACGGCTAGTTCCTTTGTAAGACTTACAAATATTTCACTTTCATAAATGAAATCTGTGATTCCTCAATCGTGTCATTTCATTTCTTTGGTTAGATATAAGTTTATGCAAAAACAATTCCTTCACTTCTTAAATGTGTATTTTTGACTGGAAACATTGTCTGGAAATGCAGACGTTGCCAACCAATCCTTACTGAAATAGGTTCTAAAAAGTAAGATCGGCAAGCTGTTTTATGAGCTAGAACCATCAGTACCCTTCTTTGTCATACCTTCTGTCTGTGTGTGTGCGCGCATATGTGTGATGTTCTAGCATTTATTTACACTTACTCAGTAGTATCATTGACTTCTGAAGACTGGACAATCCGATTTTTTGGTTGACATGAAGGTAGTAGAAGAAGTTCTTAGGAGATTAATCTTTTTTCTCAGCATAGTCTTTCTTATCTGTCAGCAGCTGTTCATGATGCTGAGGCTTATATCTGTAGTTTCTTTTTCTCTCATGCTTGCAGGCATGGATCTCTTCTCCAATTGCACAGAGGAATGTAAAGCACTGGGCCACTCAGATCGGTGCTGGATGCCTTCCTTTGTCCCATCTGATGGACGCCAAGCTGCAGATTACCGCAGCAATCTGCACGTACCTGGCATGGACTCCGTTCCAGACACTGAAGTGTTTGAAACACCAGAAGCCCAGCCGGGGGCAGAAAGGTCCTTCTCCACCTTCGGCAAAGAGAAGGCCCTTCACAACACTCTGGAGAGGAAGGAGTTGGATGGACTGCTGTCTAATACACGAGCGCCTTACAAACCACCATATTTGAGTAAGTACTATTCACAAGGCTGTAAAGTGTTCCCTTTGCGGGAATAAAAATTGGCTCTTTCTGCTATTCATAATAGGAATAATACGAACACAATTTTAGAGCAGTGGGGAAAAATGGCTTCCCTTGGAGTCAGGCACCACTGAGGAAGGCATCATTCAATGCTTTTTTAAAAAAGACAAGACCTCTATTCTTGTTATTATGACATGACTGTCAACAACAAAAGCATCAGATGATAGCATTAGTGGGGCAGTTACTCAAATTTGTTTTCTACTGTATTATTTCCAATTTTTTCATGGTTAGGTGCTTTAAACATAGACAGGGTAACATTTTTTTAAGAAAGAAAATTAAGACAAATACTTTTGTTTGTTTGTTTTTTCCTTTCAACTGTACTAGGAGCTTCTCATTATTTTTTCCTCTTATCTTTTATATTGATCAGTACCTTGATGATCATTATTTTAAACTAACTATTTAGATAGTTCACATTAGGGGTTTGGAAGGAAGAAGATAAAACTTTTTGCCTTCCATCTGATCATCTTTCAGCCTATGTAATGTCAACTTCTGTCAGTTTTCCTCGGTGCCTCCTGTCTTGTTCCAAAATCTTACCTCTTCAGTCAACTTTTGACTGTGGTTTGGTGACATGAGTGCCATAGATCTCAAAAAGACTTGTAATTTTGTAGAGTCAGACAGATGTAGAACTCTTGAGTACTATGTTGATCTAATAGGTCTTTCTATTTAGCAACCTTCTGTATTTTATTAGAGACTGTAATCTTCTTGACTTCAAGAATTTATCTTGATGCTTATCTCATCCAAATAAGCCAAAGACATTGACATTGCACTTCTAACTCTTTTCAAAGCGTCAGAAGTCTTTAAGGACAGCAGATCGGGGGGAAAAAAATCAATGAATGGTATTCATTTATTTATTTTTATAAAGTATTTATCAGTTCTGAAAGGTACTGCACTGGCAGTTTTGGTGTATGAAGATCTTCACTACAGATCATTCTCAGCACAGGCAACACAGTTCTTTCATCTTAATTAGCTCTGTCTGGGAATTTCAGTCTTTCAGAGAGGTCTTCTTACCATTTCAGTCTTCAGATTTGCTTTACTGAAAGCTTTTAAATTAGGATAACAATTGTGAGATGTGGAAGACATTCCTAAAACAAAACAAAAAAATAACAGCAACTAAAAAAAATGTCCTAAGGCAGTCAGCTGAAATACCAAGTGTCGATCATCTGGTCATACTCTGAAGACCCATATGAAGTTTCACATAGCTACGATGTAACAACTCATATCTCTATCTTTACCTAACTGGTCTAAGCTGTAACTTAGCTATACTGATTTCATATCTATCACATCAGTTAAAAAAAAAAAATAAGGTTTTACAGCAGTTATGGTCCAACAACAACAGAGTTCTGATGCAGTATGTACATTACGATAGTGATTATATCTGGTGACATCATGTAATAATGATTTTCTTATTCATTCTATAGGGATTTGAAATTTTGCTCAGCTAACATAAGTAGTTTTGTTGAATGTGTTTACATATGGACATTTTATGCTTTCCTGGTATAAGTACATGAAGAATAGGAGGTAAAATGTTTAATATAAACAATATAAATGAGTGGTATTAGATAATCCACATTTGAGAATCCAGATTTAATTTTGCCTTTTTTTCTTTGGACCTTGAAGCAGAAACTGCCAGAAAACAGAGTAATATTTCTTTATTTTCCGTTAATGAATAGTTTCTTTAGTAAAATTTTAGATTGAAATTATATAAAGAATAACAGGAGAAAAACAAATAAAATGAGCCTAACAGTTGTAGCAGTGAGTAAATAATTCATTATTAACAATGTGTTCAATGAATAAGGCAAGAGGAATGTGTAAGGGGAAGGAACAGGAAGGAACTTTAGTTGAGCCACTGACTCACTACAACTTTAATAACATTTAAATTCAACTTCTTAACAAAAAAGATTGTATCAAAACAGTTTGTCAGTAGAACAATTTTTTCAAATAAGCGATTAAAATGTATGAAACAAAACCCTCGTGTTCAGCAAAAATGCTGTATAAAAAGTTTCAGCATGTATGAAAACAGCTGTACGTAAAAGAAAATGACAGCAAAGAGGGAAAAGTATATTGAATGGCTCAAAAGCTATTCAAACTGGAAAAGGTATTAATTAAAATGATCTGTAAAGACCAGATGTTCTAGCCAGTAAATTTTAGGATGGATAATAAGAAAGGTGAGGAACTTAGAGCAAGTAGTGAAAGTCAGGAAATTATATACAGACAAGCTTTAGGATGTCAAATATAAGAAGTCTAGGAGAAAATTGGTGGGTCTCTCAAGCCACAGTTGGTTAGGACAGGAATGTTGCAGAGAGACTAGACTGTTTCTTTGAATTTGTCTTCACAGGAGGAGGGAGAGAAACAGGGAGAAAGAAAGAAAGGCATTTTTAGGGAGCTGCCCATCCCAGGTAACCTTTTCAACTAAATGTGCAAGATTGCATCCTGAAAGAGGATGTCGATGAAAAAAATAATAGGAAGAAGCCAAGGGTTTATATGTTTCTTTAATAATCAGTTTTTAACAAAAGCTAGTGACATATTTTTAGAAAGTACTAGAAAAAAGTTGTAAATTTGAGACTGGTAAGAAACGCAAAAAAAAAGACAAAAAATTGTGACTGTGGGGTTTTAAGAACAAGGTAGCTGGCATCTGTCCAGGAAAACAGCACAGAAAGATCGTCAGTCTATTAGAATTTTGACAGAGTGGGTGAGAATTAATCAATATAGCATATCTGAACTGTCAAAAAAAAAAAAAAAAGCCTTTAGCCTAGCTTCTGTGTAGTAGAAGCTACTAAAGTAAGCAAGTGTTGTTGCAGGGAAAGCATTACCAAATTCTGTGTGTCTGAGAGACAGAAAAAATTCATAAGGATAAATGGGACACTTTAGCAGAGACAGAGTTCTCCTAGCATCTGTATGGAGATCCATGGACTTTAAAGCATTAATTTTCTAGAAAAGGAAATGAACATAAAAAGGACAGTATTTGCAGATGACATAAAATGATTTAGGTCAATCAGGTCTCTAATAGACTATGTATGTCCACATAATTCAGTGAAGCACGAGCTTCTGAATTAGCTTGTTCTGTAAATGGAAGCTGCACAACAACGTCGGTACAGAGGAATAGCTGAGAGGACTTATTAGTTTGAGCTGTGCCATGAGTGCAGCGGGTACAGATGTGAACTGATAGCTCGACATAGATCTCTCACTGCCCGCCCCATTACAAGCCTGTTTGCTCAAGGTTGCATTTGCCTGAAGATTCCTGCACTGTGTTCCGATGGGCACCTTCAATGCTCAGCTTTAGAAAACACAAACAAGGATGGCAATGAGAAATTTGACCTCTTCTTGAGAAAAAAGACCATGGAACGAGCCCCTGAAAAATGTCCCCCGACGTACAGAGCTAGCAAGTAGGAATGAATTGTCAACTTGTAAAAAGGAATTGAACTGAAAATACACTAAGATAAACTATTATAAAACCATTACACAAACCGTACCACTATGTTGCTTTAGCCAGTGTATTCATTCCATAGAAATACATAGCATAATGGTGAAAATACTGAAAATATTTCCGTGCAAAGCCATATCAAAAGCTTAGCACTAATTAATTTAGACAAGCTATGATAGGGACATGAATTAAACAGGAGAATGAATGAACGCAGAGAAGTTAAGCTAGGCATCTCCATTTTCAGCTAAAAAAGAGCAGCACAGCAACTGAGGAGCAAACATGTAATGAAATGGGAAGATAATACACATTTGATAAGTTGATATTCATTTGGCAGAAATGCTAGAGTAATCTGTCAAACTCATGGTTATGGGGGACAAATAAAGGGCTTCATAGTGGAAAAGAGGCAAGCAAGAGGTCTGCTAGTTTGTTTTTTTTTGAGGCTTAGGTCATTGAATACTTAGGTCATTTATTACTTTGGGAAAGACCCTCAGGTGGGAATAGTATGATTAGCACCATTTTATTCATCTCACTAGTGTGTTGGTCGATAAGTAGCTTTTAAATTATTTTCCTGTGTTCTTTTTTTTTTCCCCCTGTTATTGTGGATTGTTCTAGACATGCATTTTTTTAATAATATTTTAGAGCTTTCCTAAAAGCTATGCACTGACATTTTTTAATGTAATTTTCTTCCTACTAAGAGGTTAGGATTTTTTAATATATGAAAATATTCAGATACTGCCATAATACTTTAACTGTATATGTATAAATGTTTATTTTGCTCTAGAAATTACTGTGGCATAGATTAATTGACTTTGTAAGCAAGTTAAAATAAGCTACATAAAGGCACAATTTACTGCGCAGGATAATAGCATCCATGCCAGGAGATACTGTGGAATAACAGTTGTGTTCCAAAGTAGCCCCCTAATCAACTCTGCAATATTTCCTACGTACATGGAAGCATCTTTGCATTCACTGCTGAAACGAGAAAATTGTCATGGTAATAACTACAGCATCAATGATGCCAACACCATCAGTGTATTTTATGTATGAATCAGGATACTATCATGTTAGGTATGACGGGGAGAGAGAGAGAATTAAAAACTGGTCCTTTCCCCAAAAAGCCAGCAGCCTATGTAAGGTGAAATAGAAGAAACAAAATCACCTTCTTCAGCTAACCATTTTGTATTGTGTTGCAGGGATACTCTGTGCTACCTTTGATAGATGTACGTAGGTCTAGGTTTACAGAGACAAATAACTTGCATTAGTCTTGTTTGTGTCATCCAAAAAATTTAAACACAAGCTTGTGTTCATCCTGTGTCTGTTTCTTAGCCTGGATAGCCATTGCTTCACTCTGCAGTAGAGGTGCGATGAAGGTCTGTGCGTGATCAGGGAGATTGGGCTTGGCAGCAGAAGTGTAGAAAGTGTAGACGTAATCTGAGATTCTGGTTCTACAAAATCTTTGGCATCTGCTCGACTGGTCATATTCAAGTCAGCTTGCTTTACAAATAAAATT